TAATAAATAGACTAGTTCAGAGGTTCTCACACAGTGGTCCTTGTGGCATGGAAGCAGAATGGATAAAAGCATCTGTACTTAGCCCTGGATTTTCTTATCTCCTCACCTTGACAAAAGAAACAGATGCCATTTTGACCAGATCAGATTATCAAGCAACAAAGCCATGGGCTGGGGCCTATGAGTGTCATAATATGGCATTAGTACAGTAAAGGTAAAGGTAAAGGTACCCCTGCCCGTACGGGCCAGTCTTGACAGACTCTAGGGTTGTGCGCCCATCTCACTTAAGAGGCCGGGGGCCAGCGCTGTCCGCAGACACTTTCCAGGTCACGTGGCCAGCATGACAAAGCTGCATCTGGCGAGCCAGCGCAGCACACGGAAATGCCGTTTACCTTCCCGCTACTAAGCGGTCCCTATTTATCTACTTGCACCCGGGGTGCTTTCGAACTGCTAGGTTGGCAGGCGCTGGGACCCGAGCAACGGGAGCGCACCGTGCCGCGGGGATTCGAACCGCCGACCTTTCTCGACCTACAAGAAAGAAGATTCCACCTAAACATTAGGAAGAACTTCCTGACAGTAAGAGCTGTTCGACAGTGGAATTTGCTGCCAAGGAGTGTGGTGGAGTCTCCTTCTTTGGAGGTCTTTAAGCAGAGGCTTGACAACCATATGTCAGGAGTGCTCTGATGGTGTTTCCTGCTTGGCAGGGGGTTGGACTCGATGGCCCTTGTGGTCTCTTCCAACTCTATGATTCTATGATTCTATTCTATGATTCTATGGCAAGCCCTAGGCGCTGAGGCTTTTACCCACAGCGCCACCCGCGTCCCTCATTAGTACAGTACAGTACACTAATTTCCCATTCAAATTTATATTTTAAAATTCCCTTTAAAATGCTTAGTCTAGGGCCTGTGATTTTGCCTCACTGTTTTTGACAATGGGGCTGAAGAAAAAAAGCTAGTGTGGTCTTCTAGGGCCAGCCCAAGATAATTTGCTACCAGAGGTGAAGGGCGTGCCAACTGGAGTGGCAGCTGGCAGCACTGTTGAAATCCTCCACTGAGGCAGCCAGTTCGTTTAGGCAGTGCTGGCTGGTGCCCATTGGAACTCATAGGGAGGAAGGCAGGGAGGTCAACAGTAGGTGGCACTAGAGCCAATGACAGGCAGAGCGAACTTACTCTTACGAGAACCGAAACACAGTTGTTCTTCAAAACCGGCGCTTCCCTGAAATTTGCAACCCATGGTATGTGTGCAACAATGCCCGTACCAGGGCAACGTGTGCATGAAAATGCACATATTCATGAAAATAGCATACAGAAATGTATTAAACTGGAGGAATTTGCTTGCGAAGGGTGTGTATTCGTCAAAGCCACATGCAATAATGTCTTTATTAGGAGAAAGTTGCACTAAAAAGCTGATGGACGTTCAAATCGCTGGCGCAATTAGAAAAACTGAATTTAAGATTCGAATGACGAGAAACTAAAAGGAAGGAATCTGGCAGGTTTGTCCATTCCTAGCGAACCTGCCCACTTTGGGTTCTGCCTCCTCTTCATGAAGGCCCTCCCAGACTAATGACCCCAGAGGGACTGCATCAGCATCGTAAGAAGGATCCTCCCCTTACTGTCAGCAAAAAGCAGATCTGCCTTCGTTCAGTTCCAACCTGCTGGGTCCTCTGGTCTGTTCAGCCCTCAATATGCAGTTTAAAAGGTTGGAGCGCTTGATTGATAGGATTACAGTATTCACGAGTCCATTCTTCGTAAACCGGTTTATCTTGCTAGTGGATGACTCATCCAAGCAAATGATGCAAGAGATCGTGTAATCCCCTACCAGCTATGAAAATCTATTTACAGTTTGTGCTGGAATGAACGGATCTCTATGCAGAAAGCCCAAACCGACTAGATTTTGTACTTTATAGGTGGCACCTGTATTTTTCCTATTTCTGGAAATATTTCTACATTGTTTTATGCTATCCTGGCCGGTGTCCTGAGCGATGACATTATTTTAGCTAGCCATGGAGAAAGGTCAGGCTTGAGGGCCTCACCTGGCCACAGTACATTGCTCCCTTTCCCATCTTCATTTGGCATTGGCTCATACAGGAGTGAGGAGCCTTTGGCCCGCTAGGTGTTGCTGAACTACAACTCCCATCAGCCCCAGCAAGCATGGGCAATGGGCAGGGTTCATGGGAGTTGTGGTCTCCCCAAATATCTGCAGGACACCATTTTGGCTGCCAGCAGTTGCACTCTAAGTGAGAGACTGTGATGGCGGCGTTTACCTTTACTCCCCAGGCTGCCTTATCTCAAAACTAGAATGAGCACAAACCTGAAATAACGCTTCCAAAACTGTAAGTGCTCAAGCTATGCAGACATCTCTTAGAAGCGGCTCCTGGGCTTTGACCAGGGAGATACCCTTTCTTCACGTGTTAACACTTTGTGGTAAAGATAAGCAGGATTAACCGGCTGTTCTTCTTTCTTTCTGAAGTACAGGCTGTCCTCGATCATCGCCCACTTGTCGTGTCACTGGCAGGCTCCCGGGGACCCTGTGAATTTCCTCTCCCTGAGGCCTGGTGTTGGGTCTAGCCACCTCCTTAATTCCCTGCTCTGCCCTGGAGTGATGTTATGTAAGAAAGCATTGTGGGAAATTGAAATTACAGATAGCCATGTGCCAGGGCTTAGAGTGCTACTGCCCACTACTTGCAAAGCCCCCCTCCCTGAATAGTTTTGAAGGGCCCCCAAGAAACATTTTGCCCAGAGGTCCCTCAAACCTTGAGTTGGCTCCATTAACAAGATTCAGTGGGTAACTGTGACCCAACTGGCTCTATGGCTCACGCAAAATGGGGGCACTTTGTTGGGTGGCACCATGAGAGGGAGGTGGGTGAGAATTTTGGGGTTTGTTTGCATTTGAATGGGAAACCACCTAATTCATATTTTTGGACCCATACGTGAAGTGGCACACAATCATCCTCCAGAATTCACCCTTTGCGATGCAGGTCTCTCTCTCAATGCTGCGTGAACAAAAATGCATATATTAGGGGATAACATGCATAAAAATGAATAAATCATTGGAAATAACATGCAAAAATGCATACTAGGGGAAATTGCTAGCAAAAGCAACTTTGTTAGTCTGAACTGCATATTAATGAATTTTCATGATGGTTTAAAAAGAGTAATAGTAATACTGAATTGCTCCAGAAATGTAGAGAACTGAATTCAAGCTTGGGAAAATGAGAAATGGTGAGGAATCAAGAGAAATTCAGCTCTCCCTCACGGTAAAGGTAAAGGTAAAGGTAAAGGTAAAGGGTCCCCTGACCATTAGGTTCAGTTGTGGCCGACTCTGTGGTTGCAGTGCTCATCTCACTTTATTGGCCGAGGGAGCCGGGGTACAGCTTCCGGGTCATGTGGCCAGCATGACTAAGCCGCTTCTGGCGAACCAGAGCAGTGCACGGAAACGCCATTTACCTTCCCACTTGCACTTTGACATGCTTTTGAACTGCTAGATTGGCAGGAGCAGGGACCGAGCAACGGGAGCTCACCTGGTAACGGGGATTCGAACCGCTGATCTTCTGCTCGGCAAGCCCTAGGCTCTGTGGTTTAACCCACAGCGCCACCCGCGTCCCTCTCCCTCATGGTACATACTACGTATTAAGTGGTACACAAACACTTAGTACACGTGCACACACACACACACACACATGGATGTGGTGATCCAGTTTGTACCAGTCTCATAAGTCCTAGTGATGTGCAGAGGTGCCACCTTGGGCCAAAGATTGGGGAGCGAAGTGGTGCAGCACACATGTGACATTGGGAAGAAGCATGTCCTTGGGGGGCAGCCTTGCCCAGTGCCGTTCAGCTTCAATGGCCACAGCTCCTCCCTTCTTATGCTCCGGAGAAGCCTGCTTTTGATGCTGTGTCACGCTCGGTTCGATGGTCCGGCCTCCTCCACCCTCTCAATATTTGGGGTGCTGAGCCCCCTGCTACGGAATTTTGAGGGGGGGATGACAACACCTCTGCCCCCTAAAGCAGGCACACCTGACGGCATGCTAACTTGGGAGAACAAAGAGACCTTTATAACAGCACCAAAAAAAGAAGTCACCTTTTACAAAGTTGACCGTTATCATTGTGTTTTTACCAGCAAGCCTCTCTGAGGCATTGTCTTAAGCTGCTGGTAGGTTATACATGCCACACCCCTGCTTCATCCAACACCACTTTCTCCTGTTGGATCAGGTGAGGGAGAAAGCAATCCTCGCCATTCAATTGTGGGCCTAATGATATTGAAGCCATGCTGGCTGGGGGTGATGGGGGCCCCCCACAGGTTTCCCATTCCTGCACTTATCCTCCCTTGCAAACATATGGATAGACTGATTCACAAAGGGCCAGGATGTAAAGTTGAATGTGTGCATGATCTCCATTGCCCTGAATTAGTGAGGTGATTATGAAGGCTTTGTTTTTGGTGGTGGATCACACAAGCCACCACTTGAAGGACGAAGAGATCTGGGAGGGTTACCTTCAGGTCACATCCTGAAAAGCAGGCCTGGTTGAGCCGAAAACCCAAATCACAGTTTGACTGATGTGAACAAGTCTTGGTGCTCCCCACACCTGCTTGGATATCCTCCCTTCACAGCTGAAGCAAGCTATGGTTCTCCAGATGTTGTTGGAATCCAATTTTCATCATCCCCAGCTAGCAGGGCTTACAGGAGGTGTGGTCCAACAATCTCTGAAGGGAACCAGGTGCCCTATCCCTGGCACAAACCATAATTTTTCTGATCTGGGCCTATGCAGGAAGTGAGGAGGAGAGGGTAAGAGTCCAAAGATTATCCTTGATGGCAACATGTTGGTTGGCCATCTTAGAGAATTGGGAGAGGATGTTTATGAACTAAGACGGTCTTCTTATTTGACCTTTCCCCAACCTCCTCCTTGAAACCTCGTGTGGAAAGTGTGTGCACGCACAGAGCCCACTGCCCCATTTCCATCCTTCCCCACCACGGCCCCATTCACAGAAGAGTCTGGGTCTGGCGCTGGGGTTAGAGAAGTGACAACATTTTATTAGTTTGGTGGGAGGGCTGGCAATTGAAATCCATCTCCTGGTTTGTCTGTTTTGACATTTGCATCTTGATTTCAAGAGTGTCAGCATTAAAAAAAAAAGGAACAAGAACTAAACCCGAAACAGGACAAGGAAGGGCACACAGAGTGAATAGACAACGAGGGAATTAACGGAGGGTGTTGGGGGCGCAAAGCCTTACATTCTTCATTCTCAAAACTTGAGTACAGAGCTTGCAGGGGGTTGGCCCACCCCTGGGACTGCAGGAACCTATTGGAGGAGGCGGTTCTCTGGGCATGCTGGCTCTCTTGACCGAGTGGATATCACACTAATCTTTTATCTCCTAGGACCGCCTTTCTCAACCTTGGGTCCCCAGATGTTTTTGGCCTATAACTCCCATCTTCCCTGACCACTACTCCTGTGAGCTAGGGATCATGGGAGTTGTAGGCCAAAAACATCTGGGGACCCAAGGTTGAGAACCACTGTCCTAGGAAGATCTTTGGAGGCCAAGAGCCCAGCGTGAAATAGGATCTGGCAACAATAGGATCATTGGATACTGGCCATGGTACCTATACTCTGCCTCCCCTGTCAAAGACACGAATGCTTCCGAAAACCGGAAACTGCAGGAGGAGAAGGTACTGTTGTGCTCAGGCCTTACATACAGGTTTTCCAGAGGCATCAAGTTAGCCAGTGTGAGAACAGGGTGCTGGACTAGATGGGTCACTGACCTGATCCATCAGGTCTTTTTCTTACGTACTTAACCCTTCACAGTTAGGAAGCCCAATGCCTCAAAGGCATTACATCTTGGGGTGGGGTGGGGTGGACCAAAAACAAAATCAAAACCAGGGCAAAGCATCGTTTCTTCTAATCTAGCTCAAGAGTCCCAATTTGACACGTGCCAACTTTATGGTCTATTCCCTTGGCTGGCCACCCAACTGCAACCCCCAGAAAAGCTGGTAAAATGGTACAGTCCAAAAGGCGGGACAAGGCCTATCCAGTAGTGGGGGTGGGGAAACACTACAGTGCAACTGGTGTACACCATCAGAGGTGGCAACAGAATGGAGCCCCTACGGTCCCTGATTCCCCTCATTTTCAGATGCTGAGATGGCTCATCCCAAAATATGCATTGCTTTGGAAGGTGATCAAGTCGAGATGGCAGCACCCTATTGCGTGATTGGCAAGGTCCTACTGTAAGGAAAAATATCTTGCTGCAAATGACAAAAATAGGCATATAGCCTAGCCCTATAATGGACCCGCCCCCTTTGGAAAAAAACAAAACCAAACAATTGCTGAACTTTAGGATGGACAAAGACCAGCCCTCTTATCTGTTTCAGCAACTTTGCCCCTCCTATCCCGTACATCTTTTGATGGGGGGCAGGGAGAGGAGAAAGAGAGGGAGGACTAGGAGGCGGGGAGGAGACCTTCAATCCTCACTTCCCCCTTCCCTCTCCAAAACTAGTCAGTAAGGTGCTGATGGAAGTTAACTGGGCCAAGGGTAGCAGAGGGTTTACCTACTCAGGCCTAGCCCTCTTTAGCTGGCTTTCCAATAAATTAAGTGCAACTAGTGAGGAGTTCAAAAGGAAGCATAATACAAGTGGAGACAGAAAAGGCAAGCAAGTGTAGGTGGACTCGTTTCCTATGCTGGAGGCAGACTAGGTTAGCAACTGGGCAGTTAAGAGTGTGCGGGGCACTCTGTCTGGCATGTAAACTACAGGCGTTCCATGGTTTGTTTGAGTGTGGTTTTCCTTTCTTTCAGTTTTTCAAAATAAAAATCCCTGCAAAATGGAGTTGCAAGTGAGTGCAATGGATGGATGCATTTTTTTGGGGTGTGTGTGTGGAATGCAGTGTTATGTCGAGGGCACACAGGGCCGGGCTGTAATTTTAAAAACAAAATGGCATTTGTCCCTGGTTAGGATGATGTGCATGCGACAGCCCCACACAAGTTGAGCGTTGGTTAGTGGTGTGCACACATGAGTTTTTAAGGATGTGTTGTTGTTGTTGTTGTTGTTGTTGTTGTGTGTGTGTGTGGTTGGTTCTTGGTGCCCCAGGATGATAGTGTGGCTTTAATAAGCAGTCTGGGCAATGGCTGGAGAGGTATTCAGAGGACAGGAGCTGAGATACCCAGAGACTGCACCTGATACCAGCAGCTTGAAAGTGTGGGGTGTGTGTGTATCTCTCTCTCTCTGTGGTTCTTAAAAAATGATGAAGAATCGAGAGTGTTGGTGGTGGTGGAGAGAGGAGAGAAGAGATGGGAAACGGCAAGTGGCAGGCCAGTGTCGAGAGCTATAAGGCTCAGAAGGATGCATGTGTGTGAGCACTCGCGCATGTGTGAGGAGGAATATGGCCAATGGAAGAACAAAAATGAGGTGGGGGAGGGGCGGAGGGAGGGGGCACGGCTCAGCCAGGGTACAGAAAGGGGGGCTCAGTGTGGAAGTGCTCGTGGAACCTCCCCCTCTCCCCGCTGAAGATACCACCCCCCTCCCCTCACATGGCAACGCCCACCTCCCCCAGTGACACCACGTCCCCCGCCTCCCCCTTCCCCAGCACTGAGAAGCTCAGTTCATCTCTTCGAAGAATTTGTAGGTGGGGTTCTCGTAGCCGTGGTTTTGCATCTTGTTCAGCTGTCGCTCCTCAGGGCTAACCATTGGATCCACCTGCCATGTGCAAAAGGGGGGGGGGAGAGAGAGGAGGGCATTAAACAAAGTGAGGGGATCACCAAGAGGCCACCAGCAAAGGACCCCAGAGGGCAGTGTCTACAGCAGTGTTTCCCAACCGGTGTTCCGCGGCACACCAGTGTGCCGTGACACCTTGCCTGGTGCGCCGTGGGAGGGAGGCGGGAGAGGCGGGGCAGCGGCGGCATCTCCTGCTGGATGCAAATCCAAACATTGCGGGCGGCAGCCTGCAGCGCGGAGCGCGGGGCGCCCTTTGGAGGACGCCCCGTGCTTCGCGCAGCTGTCCGCAAGCCTTGGGCGCCTGGGGGAACTCCCCCCCGGCGCGCAAGGCTTGCGGGCGGCAGCCTGCAGCGCGGAGCGTGGGGCGCCCTTTGGAGGACGCCCCGTGCTTCGCGCAGCTGTCCGCAAGCCTTGGGCGCCTGGGGGAACTCCCCCCCCGGCGCGCAAGGCTTGCGGGCGGCAGCCTGCAGCGCGGAGCGCGGGGCGCCCTTTGGAGGACGCCCCATGCTTCGCGCAGCTGTCCGCAAGCCTTGGGCGCCTGGGGGAACTCCCCCCCCCGGCGCGCAAGGCTTGCGGCGGCAGCCTGCAGCACGGAGTGCGGGGCGCCCTTTGGAGGACGCCCCGTGCTTCGCGCAGCTGTCCGCAAGCCTTGCGCGCCCAGGGGAACTCCCCCCCGCGTGCACGGCTTGCGGGCGGCAGCCAGCAGCGCGGAGCACGGGGCGCCCTCCGTAGGAGGCTGCGGAGGGTGGCGCGGAGCTGCCCGCGCTCCAGGGCTTCTTGCAGCTCCGCGCCACCCCCGGATCCCGGTGCGAAGCCGCGCGGGGCTGCGGAGGGTGGCGCGGAGCTACCTGGGCTCCAGGGCTTCTTGCAGCTCCGCGCCACCCTCTGGATCCTGGCGCGAAGCCGCGCGGGGCTGCGGAGGGTGGTGCGGAGCTGCCTGCGCTCCAGGGCTTCTTGCAGCTCCGCGCCACCCCCCGGATCCTGGCGCGAAGCCGCACGGGGCTCTGGAGGGTAGCGCAGAGCTGCCTGCATCCCGAAGCCTGGTGCGCGCTGAAGAGCGCCACCGGGCTTCACGCACCTCTCCACAAGCCTGGGGAGACCAGTGTGGCTCCCTAGGCTTGCGGATATCAGGCTGTTCTGGGGGCTGGGGTCTGGGGTCTGGGGAAGCTTGGGCTTCCCCCGCGCCTGCCCCGTGCCTGGGGAGGGGAAATTTTTTTTTTCTTTATTCTCCCCCCCCAAAATTAGGTGCGTCTTATGGGGCGGTGCGTCCTATGGGGCGAAAAATATGGTAGTCAATATAGGCACAGAGTTAAATTTTTTAACATTTTCTAATGGTGGTGTGCCTCGAGATTTTTTTCATGAAACAAGTGTGCCTTTGCCCAAAAAAGGTTGGGAAACACTGGTCTACAGTACAAGTTGAAAAACTGGTTCCCCAAAAGGAAGTCCCTTTCCCCAGAGTTCAAGGAGGGAGGGAGGAAGGGAGGGAGGGGTCTGTTGGGATTCTCAGCGCTCTTACCAAACTACAAATCCCAGGATTCTTTGGGAGGGGAAAGCTATGACCCCCCCCCAAAGCTTATACAGAACTGTAGTGGGCGGCTTTACCTGTCACAAGATTCCTACATGGAAAAATACTATATTTATTTCCCTAAAGGAATGCAATATGTTCATACTTGGCGTCGGGCTTCATTGCCATATTTGGGTTCAAGAGTCTCCCCCCTTCAGGTCATTTTGGCAAGAAACTCTGCTTTTGTTTCTCCCGCTTTTCTATGAAATATGTGGCTTGATTCCCTAGTAAGAGGCACCCAGTACCATTTGCTCTGGAATGGCTTTCCTAGTGGTGGACAGACTCTTTCCTCTGGGCTGAGGAGAACTCTTGGTCTTTTAGACTGAGGGCTGGATTAGATTAGAGATGGGCAGACTTGGCCCACTCGCCTCAAATTGGCTGGAAAATAAAACTGGATTAAACACACACACACACACACACACACACACACACACACACACACACAGAGTTAATGTTTGCTTTCCAAGCCATTCTAAGGCTTAGAAAATATCCCTTCTTGGGCAGCTTTGCCTGGTGCCCAAAACATCCTCCCCCAAGACTCCTAAACACACTTCCTCTCCTTTCCCTTTACTTTACTTAACCACCTGGAGAAGAGAGGTCCTTCCCTCCCCAACCTCTTCTCCACCGTCCTGGTGCAGTGTGTCAGGGAGTTGTAGAAGCCCTTGGGGTCTACTAGCCAAGGACTACTGCAATGACAATTGGCCTTAGGAAGGATACACACCTCAAGGATCACTGAACCTCTCTGTGTCAAGAGTGATGGGGGGATCATAAAGGGAAGGGACAGGCCTTCCTTCTCCCCACATGCCATTGCCCCCCGTCACTTCTCCCAGACTGGCATGATAAACTAACTGAGGGTCAAGGGAGTGTGCAGCATGAGGGCATAAGTGCTTCAGAGGTGAGGAAGAGCCTTTTACATATTTATGCTCAGCAGTGACCCTCAGCTGTAATACCATTGAGTGAGTGCAGTTTGTGTGTGAATGGTTGATAACAGTTACAGTGGTTGTGCAAATGGAGTGTGTGTGAGTGCGAGACTAGGCGAGTGGTTGCATGAATAGGGTGTTTTATGTTGGCTGGGATTCTACATTATGCTCTCTGACTTTTTTGTATTGCTTTTAGGGATATGGATACTGCGTTTTAGATGTACATCATTTGACATTGTTTTTATTGGGCTTGTGTGTGTGTCTGTCTGTCTGTCTGTCTGTCTGTCTATCTATCTATCTATCTATCTATCTATCTATCTATCTATCTATCTATCTATCTATCTATATAAACCACTTTGAGATCTCCAGATACTAAGTGCTCTACAAATAGAAAGAAAAGAATAGCAATAATAATTATATAGTAGTAGTAATAATAATAATAATAATAATAATAATAATAATAATAATAATAATAATAGAGTTCAGGGTCTTTTAAGAGCCTGAACGCCAAGAACCTAGCTAGCATCCTTCTCCAGTCATGCATCCAGCATCCCTAGGGGGAAAGTCAGTCCTTTCCAACAGTACCTCAACAATGCCATGGCTGATGGTCCCGTAGGGCTTCCGGCGAACCATCAGGAGGCTGATGATGATCACCATGGCAACAGCAACTGCCACCACAAGGAGGCCAATCAGGGCACCCCTGTTGATGGTTACCAAGGTGTCCGGCTCCTGTAGAAGAAGAGATCCAATGAGATCATAAGCAAGGTGAGTTTCACTTCATTTATTCCAAAGCTGATTGCTCACAGTACAAAAGGAGGGAAGTCTTGCTCCTACAACACCGAGGAGGGGTGAGATGAAAATAGTTCCTAAACATGGGACCTTTTCTTTCAAAACCAGCATTCTAATGGCTCAGGAGTGTATGTTGCCGCCAAGGCCTTTGTAAAAATGCCTTTATTTACTTTTACAAAAAGATTAAGGGGAGTTGAGAAAATGTCGCACACCTCATCAGTATCGTAGGAAGGCTTCCGGTGATGCAATCACCATCCACGTGACACTCAAACAACCAACAATATATCTTTGTTGGTTGGGAAAATCTTTGACATCCTCTCCCCCAGTGACAAAATTCTGGAGGGGAAACAACTGCTGAGTGGTGGGGGATACAACCTCTCTATAACAGAAGATGTCTAGATCCCATGAAAGAAATAAAGAAAACAGCTGTGTGTTTATTGCTATAGTATGAAATTGTCCAGACATGGCCCACATTGCCTTCTGGCTGATCTAGTAAAAAAAAATAAGAAAATAAAAAGGTAATCTGTAGCTGGAAGTGGCAATAAAGTGATGCACATGGGAGATGTTATATAAAAACATTTCTATTTGGGATGAAGACCAAGTCGGTTTGAATTGCTCTGCTGTTAATCTGATAGCTATACTCTGGCAGCCTTTTGGGACATCTTTGGGAGAAAGGGCCAAAAAGTAAACCCTACACAAATCCCAAGTGGAGTCCCTAAAATGGTTGGGTGGCGTCTTGTACACCTCCTTCCAGCAACTCCTGCAGCCAAGCTGGTGCCAAATGCTCTGCTTTCCTTTGGACCACATCAGCAAGGCCAAGAGGGGGCTCTTGTTGTCTGGGCAGCCCAGGACCTCCATACACACTGCCTAGGCTTGCACCCCAGGGAGGTCACTTTGGTACTGCTAATACAGTAAAAACAATGCAGGAGGCACCAGTTGTAAGCTACCGGTCTCTGCAGCCACAGCAGGCGCTGTGATTCTCCAGCGATTTGACTTCACCCTTGGAGGTACACTCCATTGTCTTGTGAGACAGAAAGATGTCAACAACAACTCTGGGTGCATCCAGACATCGCAATAGAACATGGTTTGTCATAATTGGAATGAGCTATCGCCACCCGACCCCACCCCCACTCATCTTCCCCCCCTCCACCTCTTTCCCCCTTTTCTTCCTAATGTCTCAACAAATGAAACCGATTTGTAAAAAATGTTACATGGGGAAAATTAAGAGAGAGACATTGCACATACTTTTGTAAATCAAGAAAATCTTTAATAAAAAGACATTAAAAAAATAATAATAATCGGAATGAGCTGTGGTGAGCCTTTGGTGAAACTATGACGAGAAGTTGGGAAGCTCTTACTTAAAATAAATAACCGCAGTTTGCCATTTCACTTGTACCCAACAAACTGAAGTTAAATTATTTTTTAACAGCAGTTAATCTTAAGCATGCTTTGTTTTAAACAAGCCAACTTCCAAACATAGGTTACAGCGCTAACTTGTTTCAACAAGCTGTTATAGTTAACCACAGATTAGATTTCGGACATAATGCTAAACCGTGGTTAATCCAAAATGGATGTGGAAGCTCCCAACTATGAAACTTCTTGGAGGAGGAGAGGGAAGGAGGGAGCATGAAAGACGAAGGCATGCCATAACTTGTTCCTGTCATGATAAATAATAGTTTGCAACGTCCGAATACAGCCTTTAAATACTTAGCACCAGGAAAGTTAAACATCTTCCTCCCATATGAGCTCATTAAGATCTTCTGGAGAGCACCTCCTTTGAATCTTGCCAACATGCAATCTGTTTGCTAGGACATAAGAGAGAGCCTTCTTGGTAACTGCGCCCAGCCTTCCTCTTCTGAGGAAGACTGCCTTGACTCTTCCCTGATGACACTCCAATGGCCCACCAAGACCCTGCTCTCTCTCTTGGGCAAGCTGTCCTGCCGATGTTATAAACTCTATTTTTGATTTTTTAGTTTTCATGTGGTATCTGCTGGTTTTATGTTGTGTATTACAGTACTTATTTAACGCTTCTCGTAAGCTGCCTTAAGCACTTCAATGGAAAAAGCTGGATAGAACTGCTACGGGTTCAGCAAGTCTATTCTCCTCCACCACCCAGTTAGCTTTTCTTCTTCTTAGCTCGCATAACATCCCACTGGTTGCAGAATTTGGCCCTCTATGCGGCCCTCTCTGTAGGCCACATTCTTTCTCCAAGACATTAGCCTCACCAGCAACGCTCTGTACCCTTGAGTGCCTTTGCCCGGCTGGAACATGCCCTTTTAATTTACACATGTATATACTTCTGCAGCCCAGTTCAAGTATGAAGAAATGACTGCTTTCTTTTTGGTGGGCCCTACTACCACACCCATAGAGGACCTGAATTCCTGCACTAAAAAGCATCACTTCCTGACGCTACTCTAATATTTCTTCTCTATTTCAGCAAAACTGAAAGCAAAACATTACCGAAGTCCTGGAAGTTCACAGGTTCTTGACAACTGTGTACTAGACAACCTCTAGTATGTAGAAATCCACACCTTATATTTTGGATAGTTCTGTTTCACTTCTAAGATGACATTAAGCTCAGCTGGTTGAGGGTTTATTATAGGGAGCAATAATATAGGCACAATCATCAGAGAACTAGTGTTGGTTGCTCCTCACTTCTAAGATTATTATTATTATTGTACAATTATAAGATTATTTTATTATCTAGCACTCATTGCGACCATCAGTGCAGATTTCCTTGTGTTTCCTTTCAGCTAGATCTGCCATTTTTTGAGCACATAGGTCAGCAAATGATTTGGAGTGCTCCAACATCTTCTTTTGAAGCGACCTGTTGTGTTTTCATTGGATGTAACAGAACTCGCACACCATTCTCTTGAACCTGAAGCACCTTGTGTTTCCGGTGGTTCCTAGATGCTCAGCTTTCAAGCATACTACAAACCCTGAAAAGCTATGGTTTTCCCAGTAGTGATGTATGGAAGTGAGAGCTGGACCATAAAAGAAGGCTGATCGCCAAAGAATTGATGCTTTTGAATTCTGGTGCTGGAGGAGACTCTTGAGAGTCCCATGGACTGCGAGAAGATCAGACCTATCCATTCTGAAGGAAATCAGCCCTGAGTGCTCACTGGAAGGACAAATCCTGAAGCTGAGGCTCCAATACTTTGGCCACCTCATGAGAAGAGAAGACTCCCTGGAAAAGACCCTGATGTTGGGAAAGATGGAGGGCACAAGGAGAATGGGACGACAGAGGACGAGATGGTTGGATAGTGTTCTCGAAGCTACCAGCATGAGTTTGACCAAACTGTGGGAGGCAGTGGAAGACAGGAGTGCCTGGCATGCTCTGGTCCATGGGGTCACGAAGAGTCGGACACGACTAAACGACTAAACAACAACAACAAACCCTGATGGGGTGTCTCTAGGTCCCTGGAGAGAGGGACTCTGCTGCAGAAATACTAATGGGCCTTTGACCTCCCACAATGCCCCTTCCGAGCGTCAGGAGGAGGGGGGGTTGCGGGATCACGACCCCGCCCACACTCGCTCCCGCGAGGCTGGCGCCAGCCTCGCAGGAGGCAGCAGGGATTCCCCCAATTAGCATCCCCTGTGGCCCCAGCCAATCGGCTGGCGGCAGGGGCGGGCCTTCGTAAGGCCACTTAAGGTCGGGGCAGCCCTGGGCTCGCCCCTTTTTCCCTGGGAGACGACGCGGTTTCCCACCCACCCGCCCTCTAGGTTTTGCCACTGACCTTGCTATGGGCTTCGGCTGGTCGCCGCAAGGGGCCTGGTAGGAGTTTTTCCATCTGGCTAATTGGCTGGTTTTGTGAGCCATTTGGTTTTTTCGCCTACCTCGTAGCAAATCGTCACAACTCCCTCGGTTTTGGCGGTAGGCATTGGCCGGGGTAATTGTCATGCAGATGAGGTGGGGGGGGGGAGGAACGCCATCACCTCCCCCAATGCTTGAAGGGTAGTTCGTTAAAGGACTCCGAGGGGCGACGCCTTGTCCGAAACCTACGGAGGCTAGGGCCTAAAGCACGTCCCTGAGCGGTAACCCCTCGGGGAGCGCCTAGGGATACCCATCTCGGGTAGCTCCCCCTGTGGCGTTTAACCCTTCCCGGTTAGACCGGATAGTCGGTTAGGGGCCAATGCCTAAAGCCAATACCCTTTCTTTCCTGTAATCAATAAAGTTGTGGCCATTTTCGCCCATTAACCTAAAAACTCTGTGTCCGTTGTCTTCATTTATTCCACCTGTGGGGGGGAGGGAATAGCCACGCAACCCCAGAGCACTATGCCACTGGTGGCAAATGTCAGTTTTCTGCCATGAAATGCGTAGAAAGGCACCGATCATGATGAAGCCGATGGCAAGCCACTTACTGCCTTGGTTCTGACCTGTTAAAAAGTGAGAGTAGGGGCTTTGTTCGCAGGGCTGTTGTGCGGATAAAGACTGGGATGGAATTTGCACTCACAAAAGGCATTACTTACTAAGAAGAAAAGGATTAGGTAAAGATTACATCAACTGTTGCAAAGTTCCACAGCGCTCAGAGTAAGCTTTTGATCCCAGCAGCATTCGTCAGGCATTCAGAGCAGAAATAAAACAGGATTTGTTCTCCTGCCCAAGGCCATTTTCGCAAATGATTCTTAAGTCAATGTTTCCAGTTCCTGCATCTGTAATTCAGATGTAAAAGCTACATGGGGCTGGAATGAACACTTTTTCAGTTTGCAAAATGGTGCTTCTACTTTCTATGCCATTTTGCCATATGAAGAAGGTGGGTTATTTCTATTTCTATTACTATTATTATTAAAAAAAGAACAGACAAAAACTCAACTTTAGTATCCCTTGTCAAGGCACCTTAACTGATTGCCATCACCTGGTTTTGCAGAAAACAAAGGACGTCTGTGGCCAAGCCAACTGGATGACAGTTCCCAGTTTTGCCCATACCGGAAAGCCAACC